CCCTGGCTGACAGCCATCTTCCACGGCTGCCTTGCTCTAAACCATATTCCAACAAGGTGGCTGGACGTCAAGGTAATCTTTATACCGAAAGCCGGCAAGCCCTCCCACACTAACCCAAAGGACTTCCGCCCGATCAGTCTCTCTTCCTTCTTGTTGAAGACCCTGGAAAGGCTAATTGACACCCATATCAGACTAACCATCGACCATAGCCTACTCTCTGACGCACAGCATGCGTATCGTAAGGGTAGATCAACCGATACCGCCCTCCACTCTCTAGTGTACAGTATAGAACGAGGCTTCCACAATAAGGAATACTCTCTTGCAGCGTTTCTAGACATAGAAGGCGCCTTCAACAACGTCACCCCAACGGCGATCACTGGTGCTCTGACTGAACTGGGCATTGAGCGGCCCATAGTGGGACTCATACACACCATGCTAACCAGCAGGGTAGTGCACTCCACTATGGGATCGGCCCTCTCGACCAGGAATGTCAGTAGAGGAACCCCACAAGGGGGCGTACTCTCACCTCTTCTATGGGTTTTGGTGGTCAACAAACTGCTATCACTTCTAGAAGAGGCGGGCACAAAAGTGGTAGCCTACGCGGATGACGTGGTTATCCTACTGCAGGGCAAGTTCCCGCAAACCCTTTGTAATCTAATGGAGACAGCCCTATCCACCCTTTCCCGGTGGACGGCTGGCTGTGGACTGGGAGTTAACCCGGAAAAGACCGAACTAGTTCTCTTTACAAGGAAGTACAAGGTACCAATTCTAGTTCCCCCAAAACTACACCAAACGCGCCTAACCCTTAGCAACCAAGCAAAGTACTTAGGTGTCATCCTTGACAAAAAGCTCCTCTGGACTGATAACATCCTAGATCGCACACGCAAAGCGGCCATAGCCCTCTTCGCTTGTAAAAAAGCCATAGGGAGGAAGTGGGGTTTCTCCCCCATGATAGTTCACTGGCTATATACTGCAATAGTCAGGCCCATTCTTCTCTACGGAAACATCGTTTGGTGGCCTTCTCTAGATAAGAACTGCAACCTCCGGATCCTTCACAAGATCCAAAGGAGCGCAGAGCTCTGCATCAGTGGGGCGCTGCGCACTACCGCCACCGAGGCACTAAACACAATTCTCGATCTCCAACCCCTGGACCTACTTGCCAAAAGCTGGGCATCTGCAACAGCGCTGAGACTCCGTGAAGCAGCGGCTTGGACAACGGGCTCCACGGGTCACTCCATTATCCTATCAAAACATTCACCCCTACCACGTTATACAGACTACGTCCCACCCATAGTCAACTTCGAAAGAAGATACAAAATTCATATACCCACCCGTTCAGACTGGGACAACCTCCCACATCAATTCGTAAACGCCGTCAACATATACACTGACGGCTCCAAGTTTAACTCCCAAACAGGTGGGGGAGTCTTCTCCCCCGAACTAGACATAAAAGTCTCATTCCGCCTACCAGACCACTGTAGTGTTTTCCAAGCGGAAGTGATGGCAATTCAGGAAGCCACTACCCACCTGAACACGTCTGTACATAAAGACAGTGATATCTTCATATTCTCGGATAGTCAAGCTGCCCTCAGGGCCCTCGACTCCTACACAACGAGCTCAAAAACAATCTCTGAATGCCGCAAATCTCTTAACGAGATGGCCACTCATCTGAGAATCAGCCTCATCTGGGTGCCTGGGCACCGCAACATTGAGGGCAACTGCATAGCAGACGAGCTGGCAAGACAGGGGACAACCGCCGATATCCTTCGTGATAAGGACACGGTAGGGATGCCCATGGCTACCTGCAAGCTCCTTCTCAGGCAGAGATTGTATACTCTTTCCAACAACCGTTGGAACTCAATCTCAATATGCAACAATTCTAGGACTCACATGGCCAAACTATAACACGAAAAGAACAAAAACTCTCCTACAATGTAGTAGGGAGGACATCTCCACTCTCCTAAATGCCCTCACGGGCCACTGTCTCATAGGGACTCATGCGACAAGGCTGGGTCTAAGTAACCACGACTTCTGCCGCAGCTGATTATTTAGTGCGAGTCAGCTGGCGGGCAGGTCCCACGCAGCAGTCACTAGTATCCAAAAGCCAACAGTCTGGCAGCGGTCTCACTTCCTATAGGCCACGGGTGCTGGATCCAGGGGAATCGCAAGTACTGGATGTTGGAGTATTATCCGGGTTAAGCCGGATTCTTGATGAGCCGGAAGATTAGGGAGTTTATGTTGGAAGGGTAACTGCCCTTCTTTACCTGCTGGCCTAGAGACTCAGACAGTATGAAAATAATAAGTTCTTTAACGGCGGTAGCCGGAGTTTAATATTGTCAGAGCTTGTGCTCTTTATTCAAGACTTAAATTAGACTGACACAATGGAATATTCTTATGGCTAACAAAGGCTCACCGTCTGTGCACGAGCGTCCGGCCCATTGCTTGGTCGGCAGTTTGATCGGCGCGACAATGTTTACGTCACTATGGTCAACGACTCTGGTCTTGCTGACCACAGTTAACTTATAACCATTTTTAGTGTATTTTAAGGTACTAAATCGATTTTATATACTAATTTAGGATTATACCAGTTACAATATAGAGACAGGGCGGATTTGGCAAAAAAGGCAACCAAATCTGTTAAGTTTTAACGAAATCGTTATTAAAAAAGTAAGTGTGCCATGACTTTTGTTCAGCTTAATCTGCTTATTTTTTGGTTTTTTATTTTTAAAAATGTAGTTTTAGAAGATAATTAAATGAATGAAAATTAAATTGATTGTTAAATATTAACTTTATCGAAAACAATTTTGTTAAATTGTATAACAGATTTATAATGGAAGAAAAGCGCGCTTAAAGTTCAAGATGTTAAGTGTGCCAACACTTAAGTTTGTCACTGTATACTTTAAGGGGTCGGAAACGCTTCCTTCGGATGAAGACAGTTGCTCATCATACCACATTTATTCCCATTGAATTTAATATTCAAATCTTCATTTCCCTATGGTTCCCTTGGCTAAGTAACGGGTATCTGATAGTCGAAGTACTCGACTATAGCGTTCTTCCTTGTTATACCCGTTACTCGTAGAGTAAAAAGTATACAAGATTCGTCGGAAAGTATGTAACAGGCGAAAGGAAGCGGGCCCGACCCCATAAAGTATATATATTCTTTATCACGATCACTAGCCGAGTCGATCTAGCCATGTCCGTCTGTCCGTCTGTCTGTCCGTCCGGATGAACGCTGAAATCTCGGAAACTATAAGAGCTAGGCTATTGAGATATGGCTTGCAGGTTCCTGAGCTTCTTAGGCAGCGCAAGTTTGTTCCAGCAATGTGCCTCGCCCACTCAAACGCCACAAGCCGCCCAAAACTGTGGCTCCTACAGTTTTTATGCTAGAATAAAAATTGTAACTGAAATGTATTGTCCTAATCAATACCTATCGATTAACACAAAAAAGTTTGCCACGCACACTTTAAAGCCCACAAACCGCCCACAAACTTCAAAAAATCGTAATATGAACGCGGATATCTCAGAACTTATAAAAGTTAGAGAATTGCGATTTCATATTTAGATTCCGTAGTCTTGTACGCAGTGCAAGTTTGTTACGCAAAGATGCCACGCCCACTTTAACGCCCACAAACCGCCCAAATCTGTGGTGCTCACAATTTTAATGCTAGATACTGAAATATTGAAATGTATTTGTCTTCTAAATACCTCTCGATTGATCTAAAAAAAAGGTTGCCACGCCCACTCTAACGCTTACAAACCGCATAAGCCTGTGGCGCCCACAATTTTCATGCTAGAAAGAAATGTTAACTGAAATGTATTAGTCTCGTCAATTCCTATCGATTGACCCCAAAAAATTTTGCCACGCCCACTCTAACGCCCATAACGCCTAAATCTGTCTACCGCCCACATAACCATATATTCAGATCACGGGTAGGTGGCGCATGTCAATCTCGCGCTACTGCTTGCAAATCTTCATTTCCCTATGGTTCCCTTGGCTAAGTAACGGGTATCTGATAGTCGAAGTACTCGACTATAGCGTTCTTCCTTGTTATACCCGTTACTCGTAGAGTAAAAGGGTATACTAGATTCGTCGGAAAGTATGTAACAGGCAGAAGGAAGCGTTTCCGACCCCATAAAGTATATATATCCGTCTGTCCGTCTGTCTGTCCGTCCGAATGAACGCTGAGATCTCGGAAACTATAAGAGCTAGGCTATTGAGATTTGGCGTGCAGATTCCTGAGCTTCTTACGCAGCGCAAGTTTGTATGTGCCACTGTGCCACGCCCACTCTAACGCCCACAAGCCGCCCAAACCTGTGACGCTCACAGTTTTCATGCTAGATAAAAGATTTTAACTGAAATGTATTGGTCTCGTCAATACCTATCGATTGATCCAAAAAAAAAATTTGTCACGCCCACTATAACGCCCATAACGGTTAAAACTGTCTACCGCCGGTAGGTGGCGTATTTTAATCTCGCTTTGCTGCTTGCATATCTCCATTTCTCTTTGCTCCCTTTAGCTGAGAAACGGGTATCTGATAGTCGAGGTACTCGACTATAGCGTTCTTCCTTGTTTTTTTTGAATTAGCGAACGTACGATTTTTTCGATGTTGTTGTAGTATATTGAACATTTTGGATTTTTATCTTCTTATTAGATTCCAATAAAGGATTTGGTAGAAAAAGTGCAAACAAATCATATGCGTTCCATGCGAAATAATTAAACATAAAAATGCCCTTAAAGGTAGCTAAAAATCTTAAAAAGTTAATTTTTTCAGTTTTCAGGGCAATTTCTTCAACAATCAAATGACATAAGCTATGGTACCACTGTATTATGAAAATATTGCCATTTGTTAAGAAAATACGCAAAAAATACGATGATTATGAAGATATTTTTGTTTCGTCCTGGTTGACCATTTGGCGGATATGCCCATATGCAAAATAATTGAGTCCTGAAATGAATTCACAACATGTTTAATTTTTATTTTCATGTGTAAATATATTTTTTTGTTGATGTTACAAATTTTGTTTTTTTATTACTTTTATTTGTCCTGAGACAACAGCAGCCATCGACTTAGTTTTGCTTTTAGCCATTGTTGCCTTTCGCGAAGGGGGCTCTGGCGACTGGCTCATCCTCAGTATCGGTCCCCAAGTTGCTACTCATATCAATAGAGATGTTTCTCAACTCGGCAACCTCTTCGTAGCCATTTAGGACTTGAAAAGTTTCTGGAACTTTAGGAGGCACCACTCTTTTAAGTTTTCCTAAGATGTCGTGAAACCTTTCTAAATAGTCGAAAAACATACAATGTTTATTACTTATTGGATTTTCTGTTGAAACTCTAACTTTCAACCGAAGTCTCATCCCCCTTCTCAAGAAGTCCTCCACCAGTTTGGTTGCGCCACTCGATCGCTTTAATGAATTGCGACTTGCCGTAATTCATTTTAGTTTTTATTGACTGCACACCAGCATCACGAAACGATGTATATTCTTTAACAACCTTTTGGTAGAACTTAGCAGTCGGTTTCTGTGATAATATAAAATTATTAATTTATATCAATTACTTATGATTTTACTTACTTCAAGCTTCTCTGGGCAATCCTTTACCCTTTCCCAAACCATTTTCACAAAGAATACCAAAGCTTCGGTTGTCCACTTGAACGACCTGAAATACTCCCGTTTCCGCTTCACCGAAAAATCCAAAATGTCCTTAAAATAAATCAAATTAGTTGTTAAAATTCAATTTTGAAAATGTGTTTGTCTTTTACCTTTTCCTCCATGTTTACAAGTGACCAGAGTTACCCTCTTACTTTTAGTCGAGAACAGCGACAACTCTGGTTTTCAGCAATTCAACAAAATTTGCAACAGCCCCGAGGCTGTTGAATTGCTGACATTTCTGAAAGTTGACTTTGTATGGAACAGCTGATTAACAGCAGCCCAAAAAGTAGCAATTCAGCTTTTCAACAGTTTAGGGAATACTCAAATTATTTTTCTAGCTATAACTCTAACGCCAATAAACTTTAAATTCTTGGATCTTTTTAATATCTTGGATTATCCAAGATAACTCGGAAACTATAAAAGCAAGAAAGGTGGGATAAGGCACTGCGCGTCGCATGTGTATCATATTAGGATGGCTCGCTCACTCTTACGCCCCCAAAGTGTGGCGCACACACTTTTATACCCGTTACTCGTAGAGTAAAAGGGTATACTAGATTCGTCGGAAAGTATGTAACAGGCAGAAGGAAGCGTTTCCGACCCCACAAAGTATATATATTCTTGATCAGGATCACTAGCCGAGTCGATCTAGCCATGTCCGTCTGTCCGTCTGTCCGTCTGTCCGTCTGTCCGGATGAACGCTGAGATCTCGGAATCTATGGGAGCTAGGCTATTGAGATTTGGCGTGCAGATTCCTGAGCTTCTTACGCAGCGCAAGTTTGTTTCAGCACAGTGCCACGCCCACTCTAACGCCCACAAACCGCCCAAAACTGTGGCTCCTACAGTTTTGATGCTAGAATAAAAACTGAAATGTATTGTTCTCATCAATACCTATCGATTGACCCAAAAAAAAGTTTGCCACGCCCACTTTAACGCCCACAAACCGCGAAAACCTGTGACGCCCACAATTTTCATGCTAGATAAAAAATTTTAACTGAAATGTATTGGTCTCGTCGATACCTATCGATTGATCCAAAAAAAAATTTGCCACGCCCACTCTAACGCCCATAACGCTTAAATCTGTATACCGCCGGTAGGTGGCGCATTTTAATCTCTCTTTGCTGCTTGCATATCTCCATATAGCTGAGTAACGGGTATCTGATAGTCGAGGCACTCGACTATAGCGTTCTTCCTTGTTAATAATTGGAATTTAGAACAAATGTAATTTAAAAAAAAACAATAACATTTATTTCGCTGTTGTTAACATCAGACCATTAGTTCATAAGTAATGATTTTACCCCCATCTTTTTATACCCTTGCAGAGGGTATTATGATTTCAGTCACAAGTTTGCAACGCAGTGAAGGAGACGTTTCCGACCCCATAAAAGTATATGTATTCTTGGTCAGCATCACTAGACGAGTCGATCTAGCCAAACCCGTCTGTCCGTCTGTACGTCCGTTTCTACGCAAACTAGTCTCAGTTTTAAAGCTATCGTGCTGAAACTTTCCCAAAAGTCTTCTTTAGCAGGTAGTATATTAGTCGGAGCCAGCCGGATCGGACAACTAACATATATCTTATAGCTCCCGTAGGAACTATCGGAAAAAAAATAAAAGAAAATTATTTCCTTGGTTTTTATACCCGTTACTCGTAGAGTAAAAGGGTATACTAGATTCGTCGGAAAGTATGTAACAGGCAGAAGGAAGCGTTTCCGACCCCACAAAGTATATATATTCTTGATCAGGATCACTAGCCGAGTCGATCTAGCCATGTCCGTCTGTCCGTCTGTCTGTCCGTCCGTTTGTTTCAGCAAAGTGCCACGCCCTCTCTAACGCCCACAAGCCGCCCAAAACTGTGGCTCCTACAGTTTTAATGCTAGAATAAAAACTGAAATGTATTGTTCTCATCAATACCTATCGATTGACCCAAAAAAAAGTTTGCCACGCCCCCTTTAACGCCCACAAACCGCCCAAGCCTGTGACGCTCACAATTTTCATGCTAAATAAAAAATTTTAACTGAAATGTATTGGTCTCGTCAATACCTATCGATTGATCAAAAAAAAAGTTTGCCACGCCCACTCTAACGCCCACAACGCTTAAATCTGTCTACCGCTTTACGCTTTGCTGCTTACATATCTCCATTTCCCTTTTGTCCCTTTAGCTGAGTAACGGGTATCTGATAGTCGAGCTACTCGACTATAGCGTTCTTCCTTGTTTTAACATATAAACTCCTAAGCTTAGAAATAAAATTTTTTTTTAAGAATTTTGAATTTAATTTTATCAAAATCGGACGACTTAATCATATAGCTGCCATAGGAACGATCGGAAAATTGGTGGGAAAATAATATGAAACAAATTATAGCTTCGGTGTTTTTTGACATATAACCTCCTACACTTGGAAATAATATTTTTTTATTAGTTCTGAATTTCGAGCTTAAATTTATCATAATCGGACGACTATATCATATAGCTGCCATGGGAACGATCGGAAAATTGGTGAAAAAATAATATGAAACAAATTATATGTAGCTTCGGTGTCTTTTGACATATTATCTTATCCTAATGGAAATATAATTTTTTTGTATTTTTCAAAATTTCGAATTAAATTTAATAATTTTAACTGCAGGGGTGTACAAACTTCGGCTTGTCGAAGTTAACTTCCATTCTTGTTTTGAAATCACCTACAATTATCCTGCTTGGGGCATTTTGACTGTGAACTAGCGTAAATAATGTCAAAATAATACAAAGACCGTCATATTTTTTTTCGGAAAGATATATATATATATGTCTGTAATTAGTTTTAGGTTTTCTATAAATCGAAAAGCTCTGAACGTACAACGCAAGTGTATAGAATCTTCGGCTTGCCGAAGTTAACTTCCTTTCTTGTTTAAGGTAGAAGTAATTGAACGTTTTAGGTTTTGGCAGGCATACTGTGCTTTTAGGGGGCTGTTAGTGGACCGGATGAAGACAGTTGCTCATCATACCACATTTATTCCCATTGAATTTAATATTCCTAGAGTCCTAAAGTCATCTGTTGGCTAATTTAATCAATCAAGTCAATCAAAAGTCAAGACCCTTGGGGAAAATTTAATTTAATTTACCTGAATAGCTTGAACCACTCAATCCTTGGCAATCGCTGTACTGGAATATTAAGCAGCCGAGCGGGAGAGCCAGCCAGCCAATCATATAAAAAGGCAGCACCATAGTTGCCGTTCACCAGTCTGCCAACAGAAAAGTCGAGAATGGGACTCAGGAGCTGCACGCACATCCTTACTCTAGTATTGCCACTCTGGGCTTTGGCTATTTGTTTGCTTGTGACGGTACCAGTCCCAGCCCAGACAACTAGTCTGGGAATCTCAAAGCAGCAACACCGATTACAGGAATTGGGAGCGGAAGCGGATCAGTCCAACGCAAACTTAGCTGAGCCATTATTCTCCCGATTCGGTGAAAGACGAAACCAGAAAATTGTTGGATTCGGGCGTAGAGTTCCTCTCATATCCCGCCCAATAATACCAATTGAAATGGACCTCTTGGTGGATAGCAATGAGGATCGGACAAAAGCTAAGCGGTTTGACGACTACGGCCACATGAGGTTTGGCAAAAGGGGAGGAGATGATCAGTTTGATGACTATGGGCACATGCGATTTGGCCGGTAAGCCGCAGCCAAACATTTAGCGGAGATAAGTCATTAAGATATATTTATTTCAATTATATAATCGAAAATATCAAAGTCACATAATACATAAGAAGGTATTTATAAAGTTATACATGCTGGCATTCCAAAGTTTTTGTTTTATTTTATGTTGTATTTATTGGGGTTGTAACAAGATTTTTTACAAAATAGAGTACGGCAAAAAAAAAACATAAAGTGCGATATGAGGGTTTTCACATAAAATTTGCCACCCTATAAATAGTACAAGTTTTTCGTCCAAAAATGTTGATTTCTTTAGGACGTTACCCTAGATATTTTATGCAGAGCGAAAGTTTGTTACGTCACGATGCCACACCGAGACCTGAAAAAACACAAAAAAGTATACTCAAACCTGTGGGGCTTCGCATGCCCTAAAGGCCTAGAAAGGATAGTGGAAACACTATTTTCAGAGCAATATGGTCTGTCGTGAACAAGCCGGCGGAGGAGCCTTCTTTAAATGGCACCTTCTGAATGGGAGATACTGTGGGTAATATACTCGAGAGAATAATCCACTCACGGCTCGAAGGTGAACTTGCCGAAACCAACCGTCTCTCAGAGATGCAGTATGGCTTACGGAAGGGTCTATCTACAATCGATGCCGTTATTAAACTGTTCGAAATCGCAGACAAGACCATTAGAGGAAAGTGTGGTTGTACGGCACTAAGTAATACTGCTTAACGGCAACGTTGTACGTAGGCAGTCCGATAAGTACTTAGCCCCACCGCCCGATGGCGTCACTATCGCAAGAGAAATTTACTATTGTGTAGTAGATTCTCGTAGACGGCTAATGTCGAAATTTCATCCGAATCGGTCTCGTAGTTTTGTTTTGACTGCGTGTGGAATCGGACGTGTCCGCGGATTTTAGAAAAATTGAGAAAGAGCAATATCGGTCTGTGATTCGATTCTTGATGGATGTTGGATGTTGTGTACGGACTCTTCTCCTTCGATGGCGACCGTCCAAAATTGGTTTAACGAGTTTCAACGTGGTCGCACGTCGGTTTTTGATGAGCCACGCCCAGGTGCACCGAAAACGGCTACCACGGAGGATAACGTGACAAAAATCCACGATCCCGTATTGGCAGACCGCCGATTGAAGATACCCAAGATAGCTGAGACAGTAGGCATGTCAAAAGACCGCGTGGGTCATATTCTGCATGAAATTTTGGGCATGAAAAAGCTGTCGACGCGAGGCGAAATCGTGAGACCACATCAGAGCAGTTTTTGACGCTGTTTAAGCGCAATCCGAAGGAGTTTCTGCGTCGTTTCGTGACCGTCGACGGAAAATGAGTCCACTGGTACACACCAGAGACCAAGGAACAGTCGAAACAGTGGACTTCACCCGGGGAACCGGCTCCGAAGAAGGCGAAGACTGTCCCATCGACCGGAAAGGTGATGATTACCGTTTTTTGGGGTTCACAAGGTGTGATCTACATCGACTACCTGGAGAAGGGCAAAACGGTCAGAGGGCTGTACTATGACGAATTATTGGGCCGAATTGCAGAAAATACGGCCCCATTTGGCTTAGAAAAAAGTGCTCTTCCATCATGACAACGCACCGGCTCA